ATTATTATTATTATTATTTTAAAATATAGGGTAAAAAAGTAAAGAAAAACTTATGTTCAAAATTATTTTATACGAGAAAATATTTTTCAAAAAGAGTTTAAAAATTTAAGTTTTAAATAATGGGATTCAAGCGTCGACTAATGATAAAGCCAATAAAGTGATTCTCATATTCATTTATTTAATTGATATTATTATGTGTCACATCACATGAGGATGATCTTCACTTTATATAGAGTATAATTCTTATTGAAAATAGATTCTATTTCTATGTATCGTTTGACGAGAATGTTTAATCTTATACTAAACATTAGTAGTGAGAATTGCATATTATGATTTGCGGATTTATGTGAAAAAACTAAATCGGAAACCACATACCCCTAAACATTCAAAGATTCAGAAAATAAATGATACCATGTCAATATTTGAACCAAACAAGCTCCATATTCTTTGTCTTGACTAATATTCAATTGAAATCGAAGTATTCAGTGACGGAATTAGATATTTTTCATTGTTTTTCACGAACATCTTTTTTACTCTTCACTCGAAAATTGAGATTTTTCTATTAAAATAATTTTCCATAATTATTGGATATGAAATTCAACAAATAAATGAATGCTAATATATTCCAAATAACATTTTCATCCATTTTCAATATGAAAATGACAAAATCTCAATATTCTATTCACACAATAACTTTTAAAAACTTTACCAATTTTAAAAGAAATTTAGTTGGCGCAAATGACTGGTTCGCAAATTCTTTCTTACATGGGTATGTTGGAGTAATCAAAATTATGTCTCTCGATAACTCGCTCTACTACTAGATTCATTCAAGTTTAAAGTTAGAGGCGAACTAACAAAAACTAAGTACTCGATTTTTGTGGTAAAGAATTTAAGAACTAAGTAGTACTCAATTTTTGTGGCAAAAAATTAACCTGTAAGTTTAAACTGTGTATTGCTCGGATTTCATTTCATCTTGTATTTGGGATAATGAAATTACAATTTTTTTAAACCTCAATTAAGAACTGTTTGATATAGCAATTGGGGTCAGTAAATGTGCTGGAAAACATCATTGTAATGAGGATATTCTCTTGCCTAAACTGTATGGTTCACAAAAATTTTCTCTCCTCTATTGTGAGTAAAGGCTAATATTTTTCTTTGTAAATTCTTTGTTGGGATTAATGTCCAATTTTTTTCATTTAGGAATATATATATACGAGTAGAAAACAATGCTTAAAATAGACACCGAAAAAAGTAACATTTACGACAAATGGAGAATTTCTTGTAAGAAATGTTCGCCCCCGTTTGATAACAATCAAAAGGGAAAAACCATGTTTTGAATAGTGATTTTTATGAGAATGTGTGGTTAAAAATTAGAAAAAAGTTTTACAAAATATTTTATTATGTGAATGTGTGGTTGAAAACGAGTAAGTAAAACCAGTTTAAAAATAATGGTTGTCAAATGGGGGGCAAAGTAATGTCATGCAACGCAACTAAAATTTGCCGCTAACATTTGATGTGCGGCCTTGAATCAACACCCAATTATGAAATGTATGTGTACTCCACATATATTTGATGAGAAATAATAAATTTGGTTTTCAAGTGAGGTGAAATATGGGTATTAAATATAATAAATTAATTCCAATCAATTTTAACTACTTAACTTTCAGAATAAAATGATTTGAAATTTATAATAATTTAATTATTTTCCTTACCAAGAGCCAACTAGATGCCAATTTGTGCTTAAAAAGGTAGACTAAGGTTTGATGAGAAATAATAAATTTGGTTTTCATTATGGTGCATGTTGAGTATTAAATAAATTCAATCAAGTTTAACAGCTTAACTATTAGATTGAGGTGATTTGACATTTCTAATAATTAAATTATTTTCCTTACCCACAGGATGACAATTTGTGCTTAAAAAGTGCAATTAAGGTTTGATGAGAAATAATAAATTCGGTTTTCATTTGAGTGCATGTAGAGCATAAAAAATTAAATAAATTCCATCAATTTTAACAACTTAACTTTTAGAATAAGTTGATTTGACATTTCTCATAATTTAATTATTTTCCTCACCCACTTGATGTCAATTTGTGCTTTAATAAATGTACATGAACGGAGTGGGGATAGAATGAAGCAGCTCTTTTTTTCTCCTTCTCAATTTCTCATTCTTTAAAATTAAAAAAAAAGTTGGTTTTGTTGTGTTTTGTGGGGGGCAAAGAAGCTGTATTTTCTTGGATACTCAACTTAGAGAGTGTAAAGTGGGGATTGGATTTCAAGTGGTGTTAGCAATGAGTTTGTGTACTATATGATCTTTTTCTTTGCAAGGGTAGCAATGATAATATTTAATAAAGACCCACGAAGACTTGACTCTTTTCAAAATTAATTATAAAAGACTTTAAATTAATATTTGATCTATCTATTGGAGAAGGTTTATATAAATTGATTCGAATTCAAAATAAGTATTTTGAAAAAACTGGATTAGGAGTATGAAAAAATATCATTATACTCCTACATCTTAATTTGCACGTTATTAATTTCAAAATTGTTTACTTTTTAACTAGATAATGCGTTATCATTATACGGTGTAAGAGTATAGTTGTTTTAGTAAATGAAATTGTCTTTTTCTAGTAAATTATCGTTATTTATGGTAAAGATTCAAAATCATCAAAAGAAAAAGTAAGTGGACCTGACCTACTGAATTATGACTATATGCGCTATTACCATATTCAATAGATGTGGATTTGAAATTGGATTACCTGATCCACGGAAGGAAGTTATCAATATTTTCAATTGAATTTTCTTGTTTATAGATTTTATATAGGTACAAGAATAAATTGAGTTATAAAAATGTGTTAATGGAGGAAAACCTCCAAACGATAGGAGACATTGAGCTAAAGAGAAACAAAAAAGGATCTTTCATGTCTTACCATGAATAATTTCGAATGTTATTAGTTCCAGTATGTAGATCACATAATTAAATGTAAGCAAAAGTTTCTATTCATGGAGACATACAACATCAAGTAATTATCACGCTTGCATGTCCATCATTTGAGTATTTAACAATTATTTCAATAATTACAAATCCGACTTGACATATGGATGGATAGACAAGCATGAGTTCTGGTTACTTAGAAATTAACTTTCAATAACTCTAACATTGTTACCAAAAAAAAGTTAATTACTGTTGTCCATTGATGTGATCGTAGGAAAAGTAAAATTGGATAGATATGTTATAAGAAATGTGACCCTTCTTTCTCTTTCCCGTGTAAGGCAAAGTTCGAAATTGACAAAGTGACAAGTTACTTGATACTCTATTTTGACCTCTCTCAACATTGAAATAATCGAGTTTTGCATTGGATACCACTTAACAGTTCACAGATTACCAACTTAATGGTTTTTATGTGACCAAATGGTTGTTACTTAACCGTTTTTAGTTTTGACCTTTTGTGCGGAATTAATCAATCAAAAGCAACAAGTCACTTTTAATTGTTTGATTAATTATACAAGTCCAATTATCCTATGTTCGAATTGCCGCAATAATAAGGAAAGTAGTAAATAACACAATATTGATGATGGAGAAACCCAACTGGGTAAAAACTCCGGAACCAAGCCAATTACCTCAATTATAGACAATACGGAGTGAGTTATAGTCAAATGATATTTAGCCAACTCCACTGGATTTCCCAATCCATTTCCTGCTAACTCCAAGGTCTGCTCCAAGATTTGTTCCAATTGTCTCTTCCAAATGTAATTTCAAGAACCTGCTCCAAGGCATTGTGCTCTTCTTGCGCTTGTAGTCCAACATCTCTCAACCTCCAGCAGTCTCTGAGATTCAACTGAGAAAATGTCTTCCCAAAAGTGTTTAGGAAGTAGGTGTTATGGATTCAATGAATTTGATATTTTCCACAATTCTGTGGTTGTATAGAATTAAGAGAAAATAGATTATAGTAAAAAGGTACAATGAACAACCATCCTAATTTTCGTGTATATGCTTGGGTATTTATAGGAGATGCTAATTATGTTGAATGAATAGGAAAAAATACTTCAAAATAGCAAAATAGATTTTTTCGGATCGACCTGTCGCACGAGTGAGGGCTCAACGAGAGCTTGGCGATAGGTAGGTGACATGCATTCTATTTTTGTTGCTCAAGCGCCAACTGGGCAAGAATCTAGTGAAAATGCAACGCCGTGTTTCTTCTCTTTTCATGTTCAAACCTTAGACCTCATAACCCAAATTGTACAAATTACACCCTAGGCCTTGACTTTTACATCACGTTACAAATTAGTCATTTTGTCCACATAATTGCCAACACTAAAAGCCTAACAGACCTCAAAATTTTTTTTAAGTCTTGATTGACTTGAGACCATCTTTCTTCTTGTGCCCCCCACCCTATTCGGAGCTTCAACCTTTGATTTTTATTTTAGATATCTTGATACATTTCAATTGAACACTAGAGTTTAAGTGTGTATATATATATATAAACGAAAAGTGAATATCTATTAAGAAAAGTGGCTTTAAAAAAAAACAAGTTTTTCGAGCTAATAATGAGGCATCTGTTTGGCAAATTTAGAAATTATTTGTAAAGAAAAATAGTAATAGAAATAATATTGGATAATAAGTGAATAGTAATCGTGAATGAGTAGTTGAAATTAATGTTGGACTTTGAT